GCATGATGCTATCAAAGGATAATTTTTTAAAAATGGAATTATTCCACTTTTATTTTGGTTGTATTTTCTCTCTCAAGGAAAATGATCTTTTGACAAAAAGTTTAGCAGAATGTGGAATCCAAAGATAAATGAGGAGATAGTCACACAACATCTAGCCGCCCTCAATGAATTTAAGTCAGCAAGAATGGATTAACTACATCCTGTTTTTGTGTAGTCATTTCAGTCGTGTCTGACTCTTTGTGACCCCATTTGGGGTTTTCTTGGCACAGATAGTGGAGTGGTTTGATTTTCCTTCTCCAGCTCATTTTACAGATGAGGAAATTGAGGCAAACAGGATGAAGTGACTTGCCTAGGTTCACACAGCTAATAAGTGTCTAAGGCCATATATGAACTCGGGAAGATCTTCCTGACTCCAGGCCTGGGTACTCTATGCACTATGGCGCCACCTAGCTGCCCCAAACTACATCCTACTCTGCTGTGAAAAGTGGCAAATGCGATTGCTGGGCCATGGTTGTCCATCTCTAACAGTGTTTGAGAATGGCAAATCTGACCTCAGTGTTTACCCTAGTGGAAGAGGGTGGAGTTTGTAAACTCAGACCAGTGAACTTGCCTTCTCTTCCGCATGAGACTTTAGAACGTATTATGAAGGGGATAGTTAGTAAATACATAGAATAAGAATCAGTGATTGCTAGAAATAGGCAGGGCTTTATCAAGCGTATGCCACGCCAGGTTATCTTTATTCCTTTTTTCAATAGGGTGATTAGACTGGTAGAGCTGGGGAATGCGGTGAACATATTTGGCTTAATTTTCAGTGGAGCATTGGAAATCCTTACATATCCTGACTCCAGGTCCAGCAGTCTATCCTCTGCACTACTTAAAAATTCATGTGAAAAAGAACTAGGACTTTGAGTGGACCACACGCTCAACAGGAGACAACCGCACAACATGGAAACCAAAAACACCAATGCAATCCTAGGCTGGATTACAGCGGGAAATGGGGTACAGAATGAGAAAGGTAGTCATTATGCTAGACAATGGAGTCATCCTACAAGCTTTTAACTTGGGTGGATTTAGTTACAAGCCTCTCACGCTAAGCTTGGGGATGATTGCGAGTTACTCCCCCTTCTACATTGCAGTCCAGTCAAACTGCCCTTGGAACCCCATCTCTCGTCTTCATGCCTTTGGACTGGCATTCTCCCACGCCTGGGGTAGGGCTCCCCCTCACCTCTGCCTCGTGGTATCACTCTTTTCCTTGAAGATGGGGTGCTAGTGCTACATTTTTCACAGTCTTTCTGGATCTCCCCAATGGCTAGTGCCCTACCTCTGTTAATTACCTTATATTGATTAACTCCCTGGCATTTATTTTGCATGTACTCATTTTCCTGTACATACCAACTAAGGGACTACTGATAGAATATCATAAAACAGGGCCTGTTTCATTTGTTTGTAACCACAGTGCCTAGTACTTTGCCTATTACATAGTTTTTGTTGGGTTGTTCAGTCATGTCTGACTCTTTGTGACCCCATTTGGGTTTTTTTTTTTTTTGGCAAAGATACTGGAGTGGTTTGCCATTTCCTTTTCCAGATCTTTTTACAGATGAGGAAACTGAGGCAAACAGGGTGAAGTGACTGGCCCAGGGTCTCACAGCTAGTCGGTGTCTGAAGCTGGATTTGAACACGCAAAGATGAGTCTCCCTTACTTCAGGCTTAGCACCTGCTCTATCCACTGCACCCCCTAACTCCCTTTATTACATAGTATGTGTTTAATAAATACTTGTTAATTGATTGATCACAGAATCATACTCAGCACAGCAAGATGCTCAGGAATAGGAGAATCATGTGGCAACTGAGACCGGCTGAGAGAAGAGCAGAGATTCATGCCCCCCCATCACACTCTCTCTCTCTCTCATGCATATGCATGCTCATTGAGTAGACTGGAAGGCACCATTTATATTATAATGTTTCTTTCTCCATTTATTATTATTATTATTATTATTTGGTATGTGTGTTTGTGCTTGTAACTAAATCCACCCAAGTTAAAAGCTTGTAGGATGACTCCATTGTCTAGCATAATGACTACCTTTCTCATTCTGTACCCTATTTCCCGCTGTAATCCAGCCTAGGATTGCATTGGTGTTTTTGGTTTCCATGTTGTGCGGTTGTCTGCTGTTGAGCTTGTGGTCCACTCAAAGTCCTAGTTCTTTTTCACATGAATTTTTAATTAGTGCAGTGGGTAGACACTGCTGGACCTGGAGTCAGGAAGACCTGAGTTCAAATCTGGCCTTAGATTTTTACTAACTGTGTGACCTGTAGAAGTCGCTTAAACTTTGTTTGCCTCAGGTTTCTCATCTGTAAAATGGGGATAATAATAACACCTACCTCACAAGGTTGTTGTGAGAATCAATAGGATAATAATTGTATGGTGCTCAGCACAGTGCCTGGCAAATAGTAAGTACCATGCAAATGTTATTTTATTATTACTACCACTATTACTGCATTTTACTACTATGTTTTTCCCATTACATATTTTTGAAATTTATCTCCTGGTTCCCGTCTGACTTCTGATCAATAACTTGGCTGAGTACAGTAAAAAAATAAACATTCACTTGTTTTTTTTTCCATGGTAACCATGTCATCCATCTGCTTTATTTTAAATGATTGATTACCTTATTTTAAAGAGACTCCTTTTATTTACAACAGTTTAAAGGTATAAACTGCCTTTCATGAGAGATTTAAGGAATTTTCAAGTGTAATTTTGACTCTGGGTTATTTTCACCTTCTTTTATAATTAAAATAAGATCTGATTCCATTGAATTTTGCCCTGGCCAAGATGGCTTATGGCTATGTAAAATAGGAAACAATGATTACTAAGAACTAGTGAGACTTTTGGATCATAGCTACGAAAGGGATTTTTAAAAACATTTCTTTAGAAAAATTTAAAACTCAAAAGCTTATGGAAGTGATTGTTGATAATTCAAAATAAATTAATTAAAAAATAAAAAAAAACATATCTTTCAAGTCAATTTGTTCTCTCTTGGTGATCTCATCAGCTCTCATATATTAAATTGTCATAAGAGTGCTGATCACTTGCAGATCTATGTATCCAGCCTTGGTCTCTCTCCCAAGCTCCATGCTTGTGTCACCAATTGCTTGTTAGATATTTCCAACTAGGTAGTCCAAGGACATCTCAAACTCACTATGTTCAGAAAAGAACTAATTTTCTCTCCTTCCTTCTTCTACACTTTCTATTTCTCTTGAGGGCACCGCCTTCTTTCCAGTCATCCGGTTTTACAACTTCTTTGTTATCCTTGACTTTCCACTCTTCCCCTCCTCCTACCACCCAATCTGTCATCAAGTCTTATGAAGACCAACCCTACAACATCTGCTGCACCTGTTCCATTCTCTTCACTTGGCCATCCCTCCAGTTCAGGTTAGACCACCTCTTGTCTGAAACGTTGCAGTGATCTCCTGTTTGATCTCCCTTTATTCATCTTCTCCCCTCACCAATGCACCGTCCAATACAGATGTTAGAGTGGGATTTCAAAAGACCCAAGTCTGGCCATATGTGTTGCTCCTTTGATCAAATAGCTCCAATGACTCCTTATTGCTTTCAGGACAAAACATAAATGCCTTTGTATTTTAAAACCCTTTGCTGTCTAGCTCTTAACCTGTCCAGGCTTGTTATGCCCCCTTCCCCTTTAGATCCTGCTTTATGCACTTAATAGTGCATTTGACCCTGGGCAATCTTGTCACCCCTCTGAGATCTAGTTCCCTCTCTGTTAAATGGAGGAGCTGAACTAGATGCTCTTTAAGGTACCTCCCACTTCCTTTCCTTCCCGGTCTTCCTGCATTTATGCAGGCTGTATGCCTGGATGTGCCCTTCCCACCGCTTTCTTAGAATCCCTAGCTTCTTCCCAAACTCAGCTTACGTACCACTTCTTATGTGAGCCCTTGCCTCTCTTCTCCACAAACTGGTGGCCTCCCAGCCCTTTCAAAATTACTTAGTGTTTTGTATTTACTTATGTGGATCTATGCTGTTTTCCCCAGTAGAATGTAAACTGCTTGAGAGTAGAGATTGTTTTGGTTTTGTCTTTGTAGCCCCCGAGTTAGGCACATAGTTAATAACATGCTTATTGATAGATTGAGTTGCTGTGAGGAAAGTGTTTTATTAAATGCAATAAAATGTGAGTTGCTACAAGATTATTTGTTCGTTTTCATCATCACAGCTACTTTTTTGTAACTTTCATTGTCGTTATTTTGTGGAGAGCTCAATTTTAGGTGGAATTCTGGTTTTGTAGACGCCTGTAATATATGGCAGCTCAGTATAATGGAAAGACTTGGAGTTAACAAGCCATAAATTTGAACCCTACAATAGATACTCAACAGCTTTCAGTATCTTCATTAGTGGTAGTATGGCGATATAGTATTTTCACTGCTACCTCATAGGGTTTGTGGGGAGACACATGGTAGACACTTAATACATGCTTTTGGATTGGATTGATTAGAACCTCAAAATCTTATAGAAATAGGGTATTGTTTTAGGGAAGACGTGTGGGCTATATTCTTATTGTTATGACCACTTAAAAATAACTCCTGAATTTGCTTTTAACTTGATCTTAGTTAATGAATTTATGGAAACACTATTGTACCAGTTATTGTTAGTGAGTTACTATAGCTTTGATTCAGGCATTGGTTTTAAAATGCTCCAGTAATAATAGTCAACTTATAGCTGAGTTCATCCAGGTATCATAAAATAAAATTGAAGGCAATAGGAGTTCAGGCTTTGCTTCAGTAAGTTGAAAAGTTTTGCTTGAGTGAGACCTTCTGGAATTTATTTGGTTGTGGTAGCTTAGATACAGCATTTTACAATAAGCTTCCGCATCCCTGTGAGGGAGGTGTCAGGTATCACCAACCGCCATTTTACAGCCCAAAAGATTGAGGTTCAGAGGTTAAATCAGCTTGTTTGGGAACACTGCTCACTGCTTACTGCTCAGTGGAAGGGTTGGTTGACTTGGAACAGACGCTGCTCCCCTCATGGGACCGTCCTTGGTCTGGGAATCTCATTGAGTAAGAAGCTCATTTTATGCTGCACTCTTCTGTGCTTTCTCATCTATTTTTAATCAGGCACCAAGAATGTTAGTTACTGTGGTGATTTTGACAGAAATGTTTGATCGTTCATTTAGAGTTCGACAGCTGAGCGCCTCTTATTTTAGTGAGTTTAGGGTGTACTTGAAAATGGTTTATTTTAAAATTGTAAAAGGGATGGGACTGAGAATTCTTGAAATGGAACTCCAGCCCTGTGCCTTTTTAGTTTCTGCCTTTGGCAGCTACTCGACTTGAATAAACTTACAGAATATTGAGTTAGTGGCTTTAAATAAAAAAAAAAAACAACTTGTAAGTTCTATCTCTACTTGTAAGTTATGTTAACATCTTTCATTTATTTTCATTTTCAGAGATTTAGCTTTTTAAAAATTTGAAAAATTTTCATTTTGAGAGAACACGCACTTAAAATTTTAAATAAAATGCTTATTTTGCTCTTTAAAAAAATTCGTTTGATCCTCACAGTCCGGGGTGGGGGTGGGGGGGTGGGGGGGGAGGGGTAGGTAGTTCAGCTGTTATAAGGAATAGAGATGGAGTAGGTGATTTAACTGGCACAGAGAGCTGCCTGCTAAGGAAACTCCCTCTACCAATTCAGTTTGGCACCCCTCTGTCTCAGAGAGTTGCCTAGAACACTGAGAAGTTTGTCTAGGGACATAGAACCAGTATGGGTCAGAGATGAGACTTGACCCCTAGTTCTTTCCATTTCTGAGGCCGGCTTTCTCTCACTATATCATGCTAAGCTACTTTTTAATCATGGGTCACACTAAAAATTATAAACTCTTTTTCTTATCACAAGCATGTGAAATACTAAATATAAAATGTGAAGTAAAAGTATTAAGTGTAAAATGTAAGCATTTTATTCTTATTTTAAAAGATTTGACAGATACAAAGAGGTGGCTTGCTTAAGTTGCTGGTGGCAGATTTTTGGACTTGAGCTCATTTTTCTGATTTCAAGTTCAGTGTTCTTTCTGCTATACCAGATTTCCCTTCCTGAGTGTGGAAAGGTTATGTTCATTTTTACTTACAGTCTTCAAATTCGGGTGGCTCATATTTCTTAATATGCAATTCTACACTGGCTTCTTTCTACAATACGTACGTGTTTTTCTGCCTTCAAAAATTCTGGCCGTGAAACATTTATGAACTTTCAAATCAGTTTACAGGTTAGACACAGAGGCAGATTACAGACCTCCCTTGTGTGAAGATTGTATCATCTGTAGTGTTGTCAACTAGAAGCCCAAATCTTTGTATTTGTTTTTCCTTTTCAGAAAAGGACTTGAGGCCTTAGGTAAACCAAATGGACTGGGGCATGAAATTTGTTGAAAGCTGTTTCCTAGCAACGTTCTGATGCTTCCTGTAAATAAGTACTTGACATTCACCTTGTTATTTTCCTTTCTCATATCCATGGTTTCCAAGAATAATAATACCTTAGCTACATGCAAAAGGGCAGAGAAGTCTTAAAATTCCCCTCCATCTTTTCCTCCCTCTTTGATGGTAAAGTGAAGATATCTCTTATTCAGTAACGAAATTTCCTTTGGCATAATTTATATATTTCATATGTGGAAATGTTGAACTCTTCCATCTATGTAATTGTCTCATTTTTAAATGTTCAAAGTCCATAATATTGAGAAGGCTCTAAAAATATGTATATTCTGAACCGGTATGGTTTTCCAAATTTGATAAAGAATTTTCATTTTTCATGCTGTCCTGAGGCTAAATGAGAGTCTAGGTATATAGTTCTAAGGCATTTAAAATTATATTACTACAACTTAGCCAACTAATGTCTCCCAGTGTGTAAATTATTTTCAGAGTGTGGTGGTGAGTTAACTCTTTCAGACCCTACAATTCTTTTGAATGCATTTTAATTGACTCACTGTTGTTTGTAAATTGACGTACTGTTTCATTCATCATTTGCTTTATCATGAGAAAATGAATAAGTTCTATGATTGGTCTTGATTAGAGAGCCAGAATTGAGTTGGAGGAGATGAGAGTGAATTGAATTCAAGAAGCTACACAGTGCTTTTAAATATTTTTAAACTGCTTGCTGAATTCAGAAGTCCCTTTCATTAAGACCAGTATTCTACCAGTGATGCCATATGGTTGAGATTCATATCTATTTTGCGATCTCTGAAGAATCATGTTTCTGTACAAGCCAAATGTCAATGGAAATGCAAGAATCCCAAGATCACTGAATTTTAGAGTTGGACAGATCCTCAGGGACCATCTATGACAACCCATACCTGAAAGAAATCTTCAATAACATATACCTGGTCATCCAGGCTATGTTGGAAGACCTAGTGGTCTTAAGGATACATGGTAGATCTATGGTAGGTCTAAACAGGCTATGGCAATATGTTACTTGGATGCCAGTTATGTCATAAAAGAAACCAGCAATGGCATATACAAAAAATGTATGATTGGAAAAGGATGTGAGTCAGTTTCGACTGAAGCTAGAGAAAACACAGCTAGAATACTGTCCCTGAGATAGCCAAAGGACCATAGGAAGGTCTTTGTTATGGCATCCATGAGGGATTTGTGGAAAATTAGACAGGAATCACGTATAACCAGATGGAGGGATTATAATATATACTGGTGAATTTAGTGCCCACACCTATGTAATTATGGCTATGCCTGGGCTCACCTGTTTGATTTCTGTTGGTGCTTACTGACTAAAATCAGACAATTGAGTCCGGGCACATTAAAAATCTGCAAATTCAAAACAAATGTAGATGTTTCTTACTATGCCTTTGTATTCCCCGTGCAGGTTCTTCCTTGCACAAAGCACTTAATAAATGCTTTTTGGTTTGGATTGGATTGGATGACTTTATAAATAGCAAAATACTGAAAATTATTTTTTCTGTAATGAAAAAAGACGAGATTTGTACATTCTCTATTGTTATGTTCAAAAACTTTACAAACATGGCTTGGTTTGGGAGGTACGCAAAAGGAAAAACAAATGAAATCTTAGAGGAATAGAGAGTATTATTTTGAGTGTTGCTCTTGGGCATCCACCCCAGAGCTTTGACAAGTTCATTAAAGATGAAAAAGGTGATACTGCAAAAAATAATTTCACAAGCACTAATGGGAGAAAGGGCTGATCTTGGACAAAATTTTTAAAATAATTGATCTTTAATGCCTTTCTCACTCATTTTCAGTATCTTCTTTCTTTATTTCATCTCCGTTTTTTCTCCTGTACCAAGGATTCAGTTGTTTATGTACTGTCTCCTAACTGTGGAGGGTTGATATCTTTCCAGAGAAGCACCCACAATCCAGATGGGATTTCTTAACCCCATTCCCTGGTCAGCCATTACCTGCCCCCATCTTATTCATAAAATCACAGAATGACAGAAATGAAAGGGACCTCAAAGAACAAGAATCATAGATATAAAGTTGGAAAGTGATCTTAGAGGCAATCTAATCAAACCTAATTTTTCAGTGAGGAAACTAAAGTCCTGAGAGGTTAAGTCACACACAAAATAAGCATCAGAGGCAGAATGCTCTATTTGTTACTCATCACAACTGGCTCCCATCTTATCCAGCTCTCTCATTCTATACCTGCTACTGTTAGAGAGGAAATTATTTTCCCAAGGCCTCACAGCTGTTGTCAGAACTGAAACGTGACTCCAAAACCAGTGTCCTTTATGTTTTTGTTCACATCTTCATGATTACATCAGTGTGGGCATTCACCCTACTGATTTAAAACCACAACCCTTCCAAAACTTCACTTTAAATTTTTAAAAATATATATATATATATATTTTAGTGAACAAAAGTCTATTTTTCTTCCCTCTGCTTTCTGATCTCACCACTGGGAAAAAAAACAAGAAAAAGAGCAAAACCTTTCTAACAGATATGGATGGTTAAGAAAATGAATCCTGGCATTGGTCATGTCCAAAAATATATATCTCCCTCTGCATTCTGAGTCCCATCACCTGTCAGGAGGAGATGGGAAGCTTGTTTCATCATGTGTCCTCTAGAATCATGATTGGCTGTTGTGCTGATTAGAGTCTGTAAGTCTTTAGGAGTTGTATGTCTTTATAATATTTATGTCTTCCTATGAATTGTTCTCTTGGTTCTGCTCACTTCTCCCTACATCAGTTCAGACAGGTCTTTCTCTTCCTGAGTTTCTTTGAAACTGCCCCTTTCGGAGCAGCTGGGTGGCGCAGTGAATAGGGCACTGGCCCTGGAGTCAGGAGGACCTGAGTTCAAATCTGGCCTCAGACACTTGACACTAGCTATGTGACCCTGGGCAAGTCACTTAACTCCATTGCCTAGCCAAAAAGAAAAAAAAAAGAAAAAGAAACTGCCCTTTTCATACTTTTTTATAGTTGTACATTGATGTACAATGGTTTATTCAGCTCTTCACCGAATGATGGGTACTCCTTAGTTTCCAATTCTATGCCAAGAACTTCTATAAATATTTTTTGCATATATGGATCCTTTTCACTTGCTTTGATCTCTTTAGTATATAGACCTAGTAGTGATATAGCTGGGTCAAGGTGTAGGCACAGTTTAATGACCTTTGGAGCACAATTCCAGATTCTTTTCCAGAATGGCTCAACCAGTTAACCAAATGCACCAAAAGTGCATTAATGTACCTGTTCTACCATAGCCCCCCCCAACTTTGTCATTTTCCATCTTTGTCAACTTTGTCTATACATACTGTATGTATACATACGTATGTATTGATATAGATATAGATATAGATATGGTATTTAGTGGTATAAAGCAGCAACTCAGAATTGCTTTTAAGTGGAATTTCTATAATTATTAGTGATTTTCATTTTATATGTATTTTGATAGTTTGAATTTCTTATTTTGAAAACTACCTGTTTATATCATTCGGCCACTTATCAATTAGGGAATGGCTCTTATTCTTATAAATTTAAATCAGCTCTTTGTTTTTCATAGAAATGAGATCTTTATCAGAGACATTTGCTGCAAAGTTTTCCCCCAGTTATGTTTCTCTT